GCCCGGCCCGGCAGCTCGGCGGGCCCGCAGGGCTCGTCCCACCTTTCTGCTGGCGGGTGCTCCTCGACAGCGTCGAAGAATCGATCGTCGGCCAGGTCATCGAAAGGGTCCCAGCCGCCCGAGAGGTTGGCGCGGGCGACGGGGCCGTTGTGGCGGGGGCTGCGTTGACCCGCAACCTCCACGTCACCTTCTACCTGGGGCGAGGCCAGGTCGTGGAACTGGTCGCGGTCGGCCTGGGCGGCAGAGAGGGAGCCGCCTCCATCCGCAGGGGCTGGGGCTGGCCGCGGGCTGGCGTCGTGGCCCACGGGGCCCTGGCGGGGGCTGGGCAGGGCAGCAGTCAGCCCACTGGCTGGCGGGCCCTCCGCGCTGTTGCGGCAGAGGCCCAGCTGCACCTCCTCGAAGTCGGCGCCGAGCTCTGCCGGCAGGGCCGCCGCCCGCCGTTGGAGCGCGGCATGCCTCTGCCTGGACCTCTTGCTGTTGGGGTCCGCTACCGCCTTGGCGCGCATGGTTGCCGGGAGGCTGCGCGGGGCGTCCAGCGCCCATCTCTGGCGGGCGCCGTGTAGGGTGAGCTGGAGCCCGCAACGCGTCGCCCACGGCACCTTCAGGAAGGCCTTCAGCGAGAACAAGTGCTGGTGGCCGTCCTTAGCGAGGCCGTTGTCAAGCAGGCGGCCCTGCCCTTTGTCGCACGTGCTGGCGACGTCGGGGGCGATGGCCGCGCCGCCCAGCTTGGCGACCCAGCCCGATTGGGCGAGCTGGTGCGGCCCGTGGTTCCAGTCGCTGAGGACGATCCACGGGGCCTTCTGCAACGCAAGGAACGCCCCCAGCGCGACGAGGGTGTCCCTGTTGCGCTTGCCGAAGCCGAGCGCTGGGTGCAGGTAGAGCGCCACCACGATGATGTTGCCCGCCGCCGTGCGCAGGACCATGGGGGCGAAGCCGCAGAGCGCAGCGCCCTTGGCGTCGCGCCAATGGTCGAAGGTGGTGGCCTGGAGGTGCGCGCGCACCGCCATGAGCTCGCCTCCTGCGACGCCGCCCTTGCCCGTGGAGACCCCAGGGGAGTACGTCGCCTTCCAGCCGTCCTTGCGGAAGGCCTCGATGATGGACCTGGAGTGGGTCTCCGCGCGGCGCAGCTCGACGAAGGCGATGCCGTCGAAGCGCCTGGCGCGGTCGGACTGCAGGAAACCGTGGGCCTGGGGGCCCCACTCCGTGATGTTGCCGTAGAGGACGGTGACGTCCTCATGGCCCGTGTTAGGGATGATGGTGGCCTCCACTGGCAACCGCGGGAGCAGCAGGAGCAGGAGGCGCGCCAGCCGCGCCTGTAGGCTGCCCAGCCACTGCCTCGCGGCCACGGGCCTCAGCGTCATCCCCTGTCGCTCGGACGGCCTCCTTGGACTGCTGGGAGCCCTCGGTGTCGTCGACCTTGGCCCGCTTGGCGGCGAGCGTGGCCGCCTGGTGAGCCTCGGCGTAACGCTTGGCCGCGTTGCGAGCCTCCTCGTCGTCCGCAGGGACCTGCTGACCGAGGGACTCGAGGAAGGCGCGGCTGGTGGCGGCGGTGGCCCACCGTGACGGCGGGGACCTGGGCCACGGTTGGCGCCGGGGCCTCAGCCTCAGGCGGTGCCGGCGGGCCTCGGTCGCGCGCCGCCTTGGCCTCCGAGACCTTCTGGAGGAGGCGGTCCTTGGCCTCCTGGAACTGTTGGCTGATCTCGAGCGCGTCGGCGCCGTCGAGGCCCTCGTCGTAGAGGTGGTCCTCGAGCTTCGCCACGACGTTCTCGAGGAGGCGGATGACCTCCGACTCCTTCCCGCCGCGGAGTCGCTGCTTGCCGAGGTCAGCGAGGAGCACGCGGTCCGCCGCGAGGTCCTTGTCGTGCTTGGCCTGCTGCTCCAGCTGGAGGGCCAGCTTGACCTCGAGGTGCACGATCTCGGCCTTGGTCGCCTCAACGTCTTTGCCGATCGACGTCGCGAGGCCCTCCAAGCGCTTGATGTCGCGGTTGCAGGCGTGGAAGCGCTTGCCGAGGGGGAGCGTCTCCTGGCGCTTGGTGCGCAGCGCCTCGAGCTCCGTCTTCCAGCGCTGCACGTTGTCCTTCTCCGAGTCGCCCATGTGCTCGCCCGCCTGGATGAGAGCCGCCAGCCTCTTGATGCGCGCCAGGTCGTCGGCGCCCTCTGCTGGGGGCTCCGCAGCTGCCAGAGGCGGCGCTGCGTCTTCACCCGTCGCGGCCGCAGCGCCCTCGCGCCGAGCCTGCTCGAGGTCCTTGTCGTGCTTGGCCTGCAGCTGCTGGCGGATCTTGACCTCCATGGCCTTGTACTCCCAGGGGGCGAAGTCGCCCGTGGGCTCGGCGGCAGTCGGCGGGCCGTTGACGCGTGGTGCCGGCTTGCTGGGGGCGCCCGCGACGACCTCGCCGAATGCGACCCCTTTGTGCAGGTTGCAGCCCGAACACACGAGGCTCCAGCCGCTGTTGCGGAGCCTTGCACCCTTGGCCGTCTTGCAGGACTTGCACAGCCAGGGCTGTCGCTCCGTGGAGGCCCGTGCTGACGGGCGCGGCGGGGCTGCCTGGGCTGGACCGGCCCTCCTCCTCTCTGGAGCCATGCCGAAGCGCGCGGGCCCGCAGAGAACTTGGTAACAAAATTAGTGAAGTGTCCGCCAGCGCCCGACGCGCTGGAGTGCTCGGAAGAGAGCTGCCCGCTCGCAATGGACCAGACCATCTTGAGCCAAAATGGCAACGGAGAAGGAGGAGCAGGAGGAGGAGGAGGAGCAGGAGGAGGAGGAGGAGGGGGAGGAGGGGGAGGAGGATAAGGAGGATGAGGAGGAGGAGGAAGAGGAGGAGGAGGAGGAAGAGGAAGAGGAAGAGGAAGAGGAAGAAGAGGAGGAGGAGGAGGAGAAGGAGGAGGAGGAGGAGGAGGAGGGACGGGCGGGGCCCAGCACACGGTGCATCGGCGGACCCTCCTACAATTTCCCGCCGGCGGGTGGGGGAGCGCGAGGGGGGCCGCCTTCCTCCCCGAGCCAGGGTGCTTGGAGGCGGGGGGGCCTTCCCAGCACGGCCGGGGGGGCTGCAGGGAAGGCTCCTCGGAGAGCCCAGGCGCGCCGACGAGGGGCCCGCTCGGGAGCCCCCCCCCCGCCCCCCGGCCATAGTCGGAGAGGCGGCTTCCCTCGTGCCGCGCCCCCCTCTCGAAGGCACGCCAAAAGATGCACGAACGTGACATCACGTGACAGCGTCGCCGCTGTCGACGTCGACGTGGACGTCGTCGTCGTCGTCGTCGTCGTCGTCGTCGTCCGCAAGACCTTCGTAGTTTTAAATAGTAAGCCGTTCGGCCTTCGCAGATAAACAAAAATGCGTGAACACCATGTTTTGAAAGTCCGCGCGGGTGTCTTACATCCGCGCTGGACCCCCTTCCCCAGGGCGTGAAACGCGCCAGGGGCGGCGCAGGAGGTGCCGCCGAGGGCGCCCAGCGCCGATCCAAGATTTCCGCGCGGAGCTCCGAAAGTTTGTGTGTGGGTGTTATGTTTCGTCTTCTTCTTCTTCGACTTCTGCGCGCCGCAGATCCTGGTGTGGCCGCAGGAGCAAGTGAAGCAGTCCTGGATACCGCAGAACGCGAGCATCTTCTTCATCACCGGGGAGCCCACGACGCTCGAGCCGCGGGGCGCGGGGACGAGCCGAACCCTCACCGAGCCGCACTTGCCAGCCACCTTCATTTGTCCTCCTCCTCCTCCTCCTCCTCCTCCTCTTCCTCCTCTGGTCCTCCTCCGCCTCCCCCTCGTCTGGTCTTCCTCCTTCTCCTCTCCCTCTTCGTTTGTCACAAGCATCCTGTGGTGTTGGGTCATCGTTTTGAAGAGACAGCGCCCCGCGTCTCCTCTCCTCTTCTCCTTTCTCCTCTTCCCTCCTCCCATCCTTCCTCTGCTCCCCTCACACGTTTCGTGGCTCCCTAGGGAGCTCCACCGAAGGCACAAGTGGGGGGGCACATGCGTGCCCGCCATCTATTTCGGGACACCCTTTGCACGTTTCGTGGCCCAATTGGGAGCTCCACCGAAGGCCTCAGCTGCTGCGCTCACATGCGTCCCGCGCCCAGTTCGGCACACCCTGAAACGCTTCGTGGCCCCATAAGGAGCTCCGCCGAAGGCCCCCATGGCTGCGTCCACATGCTTCCCGCGCCACCCAGTACAGCGTTTAGTGGCCCCATAGGGAGCTCAACCGAAGGCCCCAATAGCTGTGACCACATGCGTCCCGCTCCACCCAGTACGGCGTTTCGTGGCCCCAAAAGGGCCTCCACCGAAGGCCCCAGTGGCACCGCCCGCATGCGTCCCAGCCGCTCATTTCGGCACACCCCTCACATGTTTCGTGGCCGCAGCCGCGCACTTCGGCACAGCCCTCACACGGTTCGTGGCCCCATTGGAAGACCCACTGAAGGCCCACGTGGCTGCGTCCACATGCGTCCCGCGCCGGTGTCGGCACACCCCTTACACGGTTCGTGGCCCCATAGGGAGCTCCCACGAAGACCCAAGCAGCTGCGTCCACATGCGTCCCGCGCCCATTTCCATACACCCCTCACACGGTTCGTGGCATCATAGGGAGCCCCACCGAAAACCCCAGTGGCTGCGTCCACATGCGTCCCGCGCCCATTTCGGCACACCCCTCACACGGTTCGTGGCCCCATAGGGAGGGACCTCCACCAAAGGCCCAAGGGGCTGCGTCAACATGCGTCCCGCGCCCATTTCGGCACACCCTTCACACGTTTCGTGGCGGCATAGGCAGCTCCACCAAAGGCCCACGTGGCTGCGTCCACATGCGTCCGCGCCATCCATGTCGGCACACCCCTCACATCTTCCATGCCAGGGCGCGAAACACACAGAGGGGGAAACATCTGAGAGCCCACCATCCCGCTCTGCCCCCCTCCCTTCACCTCTTGCCTGCACTGCCCCGCGCCTCGTTCTTCCTGCGGCGCGCTGCCTATTAGAGATACTCGGAGTTTGCGCGCCCCCTTCCTTCGTCTCATCTCCCTCGCGGTACTCGCAGCTGCGTGTGGTTAGGTCCTTCGCCAAACTGACCCCTTGCTTCTCCCCACGCTACGTTCATGTCCCGGCCGACCCGATTCACCCGCCCATCAAGGCCCCCCCCTGCCGACACGACTCGATCCGCCCGTGAGGGCCGACCCGCCCGACCCGCCTGGTAGGATCCGCCCGACCCGCCCGTTAGATCCTAAACAAATGCCCAAACCTTGTCCCACGGCCTTCTGGTATGAAGGGCTCACGAAAAATTAACCTTATGACCGCGTTCCGCGAACAGCTGGACTACGCTATACTGGGCAATCACGTCTGCATTCTGTCATCCCTTGCCCACGAGGGGTACGACACCGAATCGAACAAGCACTCCAATTTGATACAAGCGGAAGATTGGAAAGAGAAATGGAGCATCGCCCAGTGCGCAAGATCAGCGACAACTCTAAGGTGCGTCCTCAGTGACTGCATGAGTCCAATCAGAGCCACTGCGCAATCAAGTCTGCATCATGCCATGCCTCCCCCAAGGGGGATACGACACCCAAACGAACGAGCACTCCAAACTTGAAACCACCGCCAGAGCGTAGCGAGATACGGAGCATCGCCCAGTGCGCAAGATCAGCGACAACTCTAAAGTGTGTCCTCAGTGACTGCATGAGTCCAATCAGAGCCACTGCGCAATCAAGTCTGCATCACGTCATGCCTTCCACAAGGGGGATACGACTCTGAACCGAACGATCAAGGCAAACTGGAGATCACCACCTCACCGTAACGAGATATGGAGCATGGGCCCGGTACGCGCGATCAGCGACAACTCTAAAAGCGCGTCCTCACTGACTGCATGAGTCAATTCAGAGCCACTGCGCAATCAAGTCTGCATCATGTCGTGACTCGTCCGAGAGGATGCGATGCGACACCGCATCGAACGAACAATCCACAATTGAAACACTCGCAACGACGTAACGGGATGCGGAGCATCGCCCAGTGCGCAAGATCAGCGAAAACTCTAAAGTGCGTCCTCAGTGACTGCATGAGTCCAATCAGAGCCAATGAAACAACCGATAGAAACCAACGAAAGTTGGAGCATCGCCAGGAGGGCACAATCAGCGACAACGCTAAAGTGCGTCCTCAGCGACTGCATGAGTCCAATCAGAGCCACTGCGCAATCAAGTCTGCATCATGCCATGCCTCCCCCAAGGGGGATACGACACTGAAATGAACGAACAGACCACACTTGAAACAACCGATCGCACACAACGAAATCTGGAGCATCGCCCAGTGCGCAAGATCAGCGACAACTCTGAAGTGTGTCCTCAGTGACTGCATGAATCACATCAGAGCCACTGCGCAATCAAGTCTGCATCATGCCATGCCTCCCCCAAGGGGGATAAGAAACCCAAAACAAACGAATACTCCAAACATGTAACCACCGCCAGAACGTAACGAGATACGGAGCATCGCCGAGTGCGCAAGATCAGCGACAACTCTAAAGTGTGTCCTCAGTGACTGCATGAGTCCAATCAGAGCCACTGCGCAATCAAGTCTGCATCATGTCATGCTTTCCCCAAGGGGGATACGACACTGAACCGAACGATCAAGCCAAACTGAAGATCACCGCCTAACCGTAACGAGATATGGAGCATGGGGCCTGTACGCGCGATCAGCGACAACTCTAAACGCGTGTCCTCAGTGACTGCATGAATCAACTCAGAGCCACTGCGCAATCAAGTCTGCATCATGTCGTGCATTGCCAAAAGGGGACACGACACCGACTCGAACGAACAGACCAAACTTGTAGCAATGGCAGCAGCGAAACTAGATACGGATCATCGCCCAATGCGCGCGGTCAGCGACGACTCTACAGTGTATCCTCAGTGACTGCATGAATCAACTCAGAGCCACTGCGCAATCAAGTCTGCATCATGCCATGCCGCCCAAAAGGGGGGGTACGACACTGAAATGAACGAACAGACCACACTTGAAACAACCGATAGAAACCAACGAAGTTTGGAGCATCGCCAGACGGGCACAATCAGCGACAACTCTAAAGTGCGTCCTCAGTGACTGCATGAATCACATCAGAGCCACTGCGCAATCAAGTCTGCATCATGCCATGCCTCCCCTAAGGGGGGTACGACACTGAAATGAACGAACAGAACACACTTGAAACAACCGATAGAAACCAACGAAGTTTGGAGCATCGCCAGACGGGCACAATCAGCGACAACTCTAAAGTGCGTCCTCAGTGACTGCATGAATCACATCAGAGCCACTGCGCAATCAAGTCTGCATCATGCCATGCCTCCCCCAAGGGGGGTACGACACTGAAATGAACGAACAGACCACACTTGAAACAACCGATCGCACACAACGAAATCTGGAGCATCGCCAGGAGGGCACGATCAGCGACAACTCTGAAGTGTGTCCTCAGTGACTGCATGAATCAACTCAGAGCCACTGCGCAATCAAGTCTGCATCATGCCATGCCTCACCCAAGAGGGGTACGACACTGAAATGAACGAACAGACCACACTTGAAACAACCGATCGAACCCAACGAAATCTGGAGCATCGCAAGGAGGGCACGATCAGCGACACCTCTGACGTGTGTGTCCTCAGCGACTGCATGAATCACATCAGAGCCACTGCGCAATCAAGTCTGCATCATGCCATGTCTCCCCCAAGGGGGGTACGACACCGAATCGAACAAGCACTCCAACTTGATACAAGCGGAAGATTGGAAAGAGAAATGGAGCATCGCCCAGTGCGCAAGATCAGCGACAACTCTAAGGTGCGTCCTCAGCGACTGCATGAATCAAATCAGAGCCACTGCGCACGTCAGTCTGCATCATGTCAGGTCTCCCCCAAGGGGGATACGACACCCTATCGAACGAGAACTCCACACCTGATACAACCGCCAGAACGTAACGAGATACGAAGCGAGATACGGAGCATCGCCCAGTGTGCGCTGTCAGCGACAACTCTAACGTGCGTCCTCAGTGTCTGCATGAATCAAATCAGAGCCACTGCGCAATCAAGTCTGCATCATGCCATACCTTCCCCAGGGGGGTACGGCACTGAATCGAGCGAACACTCCAAACTTGTAACTACCGCCAGAACCTCACGGGGTACAGGGCACCGCTTGGAGGGCGCGATCCGCGACAATTCCAAAGCGCGTCCTCAGCGACTGCATGAATCATCTCAGAGCCACTGCACAATCAAGTCTGCATCATGTCATGCCTTCCCGAGGGGACTTTGTCACTGTTCCCCATTAATACAGCCCCCCCTCCGCCAGGCGACCGACAGCCGTCCAGAACCAAAGCGACTCCCCCCATCCCTGTCGAACACAATCCGAGCACCCACACTTTTGGGCAATCTCTTGGGTCATGCTCGTGGGCCCCGCGAGCACGTTGCACTGCTTTTCCCAACCATCCTGTGGTGTCGGGTCCTCGTTTTGAAAAGACAGTGCCCCGCGTCTCCTCGGTCCTCCTCCCCCTCCTACTTCCTCCCCCTCCTTGCCTCTGTCCTCCGCATCCCATGTCGGCATATCCTTCACACATTTTGTGATTCCCTAGGGAGCTCCACTGAAGGCCCCAGTGGCTGCGTCCACATGCGTCCCAGCCGATCATTTCGGCACACCCTCACACGCTTCGTGGCGCCAAAGGGAGCTCCATCGAAAGCTCCAGTAGCTGCGTCCGCATGCGTCCCAGCCGCCCATTCCGGCACACCCCTCACACGCTTCGTGACCCCATAGGGAGCCCCACCGAAGGTCCCAATCGCTACGTCCACATGCGTCCCGCGCACATGTCGGCACACCCCTCACACGTTTCGTGACCCCCTAGGGAGCTCCACCGAAAGCCCCAGTTGCTGCGTCAACATGCGTCCCAGCCGCGCACTTCGGCACAGCCTTCACACGCTTCGTGGCCCCATGGGGATCTCCACTGAAGGCCTCAGTGGCTCCGCCCGCATGCGTCCCAGCTGCCCATTTCCGGGCACCCCTCACATGTTTCGTGGCTCCCTGGGGAGCTCCACCGAAGGCTCCAGTGGCTGTGTCCACATGCGTCCCAACTGCCCAAGTCTGGACACCGCTCACACGTTTCGTGGCTCTATAGGGAGCTCCACCGAAGGCCTCAGTGGCGGGGTCCGCATGCTTCCCGCGCCACTTCTGGCACACACACACACACCTCACACTTTTCGTGCCTTGGGGCTCCACCGAAGGCCGCAATGGCGGCGTCCTCGTGCATTGCCCAATAGTAAGCTCCACTGGATGCCCCAGTGGCTGAGTCCGCATGCGTTCCCCCACCCACCCAGTGCAGCGCTTCGTGGCCCCATATGGAGCTCCACCGAAAGCCCGCCACAGTAGCGGTGCTCGCATGCGTTTCCCCCACCCAGTTCAACGTTTCGTGGCCCCGTAAGGGAGCTCCACCGAAGGCCTCAGTGGTATGGTTCGCATGCGTCTTCCCCACCCAGTACAGCGTTTCGTGGCCCCGTAGGGAGGGAGCCCCACCGAAGGCCTCAGTGGAGGTGTTCGCATGCGCCCTCCCGGCCACCTAGTACAGCGTTTCGTGGCCCAATAAAAAAGGGCTCCACCGAAGGACCCAGTGGCGGTTTTCGCATGAGTCTTCCCCATTACAGCATTCCGTTGCCCAATAAGGAGCTCCACCGAAGGCCCCGGTGGCATGGTCCGTATGGCGGTCCCGTTCCATGTCGGTTTACCCCTCACACGTTTCGTGGCCCCATATGGAGCGCCATCGAAGGCCACAATGGCTGCGCCCGCATGCGTCCCCGCCCCATTTCGGCAAACCCTTTACACGCTTCGTGACTCCATAAAGACATTCACCGAATGCGATATCCACAACGGCGATACCCACAAATGTATAATGTGTGGCCCTTCGCCAGGGTACTTTTTCCCATCTCCTTCATCATTCCTCTTTCCTCCCTCCTGCATCATGCCTGCTATCTCCTGCCTACGTCCTCCTTCCTCCCTCCTCATTCCTCCCTCCTCCTCCTCCTCCTCCTCCACCTCCTCCTCCCTCATCCTCGTCCTCCGCCTCCTGCTCCATCTCCTCCTCCTCCTCCTCCTGCTGCTCCTCCTCCTCCTCCTAATTCTCTTGCGCCGTTTCATTATCTCCCTCCTCCACCTCCTCCTCCTGATCCGCCTCCTGCTCCTCCTCCTCCTCCTCCTCCTTCTCCTCCTCTTCCTCCTCCTATGCGCCTTCATCGGCACCGTGTGTGGCAGGCCGATCTTGTTCCCCCAGTACCCCCGCCGAACGGGGATGAGGCTCAGCTTGGCTGCGATGATGCCGCCGCGGATGGCGGTCGCGACCTCCTTGGAGCACTTCGAGCCCAGGCCGATATGGCCATTATTGTCTCCGACGAGGACGTAACACACGAAGCGGTTGGTCTGGCCGGCCGAGCTCATTTTCTGCACTGGATGGATCTTCATTACCTCGTCCTTGAGAGTCCCTGGCGCGAAGAACTGGTCGATGATCTGATACTCCTTGATCGGCAGAGAATGCAAGTATATGTCTTCGATGGTAGTGATCTTGCCCTCCTTAACGAGGCGGCCGAGCTTGGTGCAAGGGACCCACTCCTTCTCTTCGGCTCCCTTCTTTCCTTTCTTGCCACCCTTCTTGCCCTTCTTGCCCTTGCCGTCGTTCTTTCCCTTTCCAAAGCCGCCCTCGCCCATCGCTGCTTCACGCAAATCCACCGAAACCAGAAAATGCAGGCTTAAGCCAAGACGACTATTCACGGAGGAGGAGAACGACAGGAGGATGGAGAGAGGGTGTCGGCGGGGAAAGGGGGTGGGGGAGGCGAGACGAAGGGAATAACGCTGAGGAGAAGGAGGAGGAGGAGGAGGAGGATGAGTGGGATGGAGAGGGAGGATAGGGAGCTTGAGGTTGCGAGGGAAAAGGATAATGGAAGAGCGGAGGATGAGGGAGAGGAGCAGGAGGTGGAAGAGGAGGACGTCGAGAGGGGAGCTGGGGCAGGAAGAGGGGAGTATGGGGAGGACGAGGGGAAGGAGGACAAGCAGGGAGTGAGGCTTCGCAAAGGGTGAACGACGAGAAGGACGAGGAGGGGTAAGGGAGACGAGCAGGCAGGGAGGGCAGGGAGGGAAGTATGGAATGAAGAGGGCGAGAGAAGGGGGAAGAGCAGGGAGGGAGCGCAGGACGGGGATGGCATGGGGAAGGGGAAGGGCAGGGAAGGGCGCTTCGCAGAGGCGGCATGCAGAGGGGGACGTGGAGGTGGGGGGGGCAACGAGAGGGAGGACCGGGGGGCCCGCAGCGGGTGGAGAAAGGGGGCGGGGGGATGGGGATGGGATGGCGGAGGACCACAAGCAAGACCAGGAGGATGAGAAGGCTGGGCCTCCACGACGCCTGGCACCCGGCCTCCAGCCTCACTGCGCCTGCTGCTCCTGCTGCACCCTCTCGTCGTCCCCAACGCCGTCTTCATCGTCGAAAGTGTCCTCCTCCTCCTCCTCCTCCTCCTCCTCCTCCTCCTCCTCCTCCTCCTCCTCCTCCTCCTCCTCCTCCTCCTCCTCCTCCTCCTCCTCCTCCTCCTCCTCTTCCCTCCTCCTGCTCCTCCTTCTCCTGCTCCTCCTCCTCCTCCTCCTCCTCCTCCTCCTCCTCCTCCTCCTCCTCCTCCTCCCCCTCCTCCCCCTCCTCCTCCCCCTCCTCCCCTCCTCCTCCTCCTCCTCCTCCTCCTCCTCCTCCGCCTCCTCCTCCTCCTCCTCCTCCCTCCTCCTCCCTCTTTCCTTCCTCCTCCTCCCCCTCATCATCATCACCATCACCATCACCATCACCATCACCGTCCACCATCATCATCATCATCATCAGCATCATCATCATCATCATCATCATCATCATCATCATCATCATCATCATCATCATCATCATCATCATCATCATCATCATCATCATCATCATCATCATCATCATCATCATCATCATCAGATCCATCTCATCATCATCATCATCATCATCCATCATCATCATCATCATCATCATCATCATCATCATCATCATCATCATCATCATCATCATCATCATCATCATCATCATCATCATCATCATCATCATCATCATCATCATCATCATCATCATCATCATCATCATCATCATCATCATCATCCTTCTCCTCCTCCTCCTCCTCCTCCCGCCTCCCGCCTCCCGCCTCCTCCTCCTCATTCTTCTCCTCCCCCTTCCCATCTTCTTTTGCCTCTTCATTATCTCCCTCCTCCTGCCCGCCGGTTGCTGCCGTCGCTCCCTGCTGCCTGCGGTTGCTGCCCGCTGCTGCCTGCTGCAACTGCTGCTGTTGCTGCTGCTGTGCGGCGGCAGCGTGCGCTGCGGAGTCTGTTGAGCTGCTGCTCGCTCTACTGCCTCCCGCTGATGCTCCTGCCCGCTGTACTGCATCCTTTTGCTGCTGCTGCATCCTGATGATGATGCCGCCCGAGGCTTGGAGAGATGGGGGCTGGACGTCCACCCCTTACTAGGAACAAGGAAAGGCGACACCGACACCACGAGGGCGAGGAGATGCGAGGAGGCAAGGGGGGTTCTCTCGCCTCGAGACATCCCCAGCCTCCAGCTCGGGGAGGCATCGTGGATCTTCTGGCTGGAGGTGGGCCCCCTGGTGGTGTTGGTATCGCTCCTCCTCCCTTCGACCTTATGGCAACATGCGTTCTGGTCCGGCAACCAAACTACCTCCGTCACCAGCTACTTGCTGCTGGTAATGTACGGTGGTGCTGACGATGGTGGTCATGATCACTACGACAATAATGATGGTGGCCATGAAAATATCGACGGAGGGCGAGTCGGAATACGGAAGGAGGGGGAACACCAAACCAGGGATGAGTACTAAGGGGAACCGGACGAATCCGAGGACGAGAAGCAGAAACACGCTAACAAGAGAAGACCATACGTTGTGGAAGGCGCTGCCGTTGCCATCCTCGCCGGACTTGCGACGCTTGCGTCCGGGGGGAAGCAAGGGGAGGAGGGGGAGCCACGGTGGGTAAGCCGTGCTGCCTGGGCCCACCCGCTCCGCTAAGGTGTACAGAGTGGTCAGTGGCACCTCCTGGTCTGAGGTGAGCGTTGCCGATGACGTTCGCGGAGGCAACGCCCCCCACCATCCCGCTGCCGCGCACTCCCCTGTGCTGGCCGGGGTCGTGGGGGCCCTCCCCTCCCCCCCTAATTCGGTGCAGGTGGCCTCTCCTGGGCACGTCGCCTCGGCGCTATGGACGCTCGGGCAGCGCGCGCCGGACAAAAAAAAAGAGAGGAGGGGGGAGGGTTCGGGAAGTCGGTGTGCAGATCTGCCCGCCAGCGTGCCCGCACGCCCCTGCCTCTTCAATATGAAGGTCCGCCCCGCACTCGCCCGCCCCGGCAGGCACTTCTGTCGCCGACTGTGCTCAGGGGTGCCGTACCGTGCCCATGCTCGACCGCCGTGCGGCCCGAGGTATCAGGTCACCGGCTTCGGGCCCGCGGGACGGGAGTGAAACGGCCGGGGAGGAGTGGGAGGAGGAGGAGGAGGAGGAGGAGAAGAAGAGGGGGGAGGAGAGGACGGAGAGAGAGGTGGGAACGGCGTAGTGGAAATGTGGCAGGGAGAAGTTGACGCGGAGCAGGGGGTGAATGGTGATGATGATGATGATGATGATGATGATGATGATGATGATGATGATGATGATGATGATGATGATGATGACGATGATTGTGGTGATGATGATTATGATGATGATGATGATGATGATGGTGGTGATGATGATGACGATTATGATGGTGATGCTGATGATGATGGTGGTGGTGGTGGTGGTGATGAGGAGGAGGAACAACAACAAATAATTGAGGGGATGGGGATGGGGGAGCAAGAGGAAGCGGCGCAGTGGGTATGCGGAGGATCGGAGGAAGCAGGAGGACAAGCGTTTTCCTGCTCTTGCCCGTCCCCTCCCCCGTTCCTCTGTGGCCGGCCAGGGACGAGACAAGCCGATTCCAGGCAACATGTTTTGGGGATGTTCCTCTGCGGCTTGGCCAAGTGGCAGCTGGTGCTCGCATACTTCCACAAACCGTACTGGCACTGAGGGGTTCTTGATACGCAATACAAGTACCCTTAACCTTTTGGACAAGACCCTCAGTTAGGAGGGCCAGACACATCAGTGATAGGGGGTCTGTTCTGCTGATGTATCAAAACCAACCACCCAGACTCATTATCCATAATGCGAAGACGGGGACCTAAGTGAGGCCACGTTTTCAGTGTGTTATGAAGGTTATGGGTTATTTTGTTGTCGATGAGTTCTTACTCGTGCTGCAAACCCTGAACTCCGACGTCGTGACTTTTCAACAGCGCTGACCCCCCGGAGATTTGCGCCTCGTCCCTCTTCCCAAAGATCGGACTCTCATCCCGAATCGTGCTTTGACTGCCCCAAGGCCAGTGAGGGGCCACGTAAGCCGAAAACTGCGAAACACCGTCCGCCATCATATTCCCACTACGTAAAGAGCTGAGCAATGAGCACTCCCGCGCATGTGCACCGTGGGTGCTGCGGGTGCAGCACCAGAACGCGCCGCCCTTCTGGACCAGTCGGTGCGCACGCGCATTGTTCATTTGTGGTGTTTGGCTTACTCACGCCGGATGAGATCCCAATGCTTCGTCGACCCACTGTACACAATCTCTGATGTCATCATGTCGTCGCACCCAAGTTTGTAGCAGTGGAACCAGTCGCACGCAGGAGTGGCCCCATGCAAGAGTGACCTTTGATGCGGGCGTTCGGGGGCCGCGAGGAAGGGCCGAACGCGGTCGCAAACCTCCCGCCCACGACCTCTCTCACGGCGAGCAGGAGTTCTGGGAACCTTCAGCTCCTCGCCCCACGGGGCGGGGGAGGGAAGTGCCTCGTCCCCGAAGTGCTGGGCGAGCCAGTCGAAGGTCCACTTCTCCCTCGCGGGCCACGCCTCCTGCGCGTCCAGGAGGACCACGGGCCTCGTACCAGGGCGCCCTCCCCCTTCTCCCTCTCCTCCATGCCTCCTCCTTCCCTCCCTCCTCCTCCGTCCCTCCTCCCTCCTCCTGCCTCCATCCTCCCCACCTTCTCCCGCTTCGCTTGCTCCTTCTCACTCCTGCTCCTGCTCCTGCTCCTGCTCCTCCTCCTCCTGCTCCTCTTCCTCCTGCTGCTGGTCCTCCTCCTCCTCCTGCTCCTGCTCCTGCTCCTGCTCCTGCTGCTGCTCCTCCTCCTCCTCCTCCTCCTCCTCCTCCTCCTCTCTCCTCTCCTCCTCCTCCTCCTCCTCCTCCTCCTCCTCCTTCCTCCTCCTCCTCCTCCTCCTCCTCCTCCTCTTGCTGCTGCTACTGTTGCTGCGGCTGCTGCTGCTGCTTTTCCTCCTCCTACTCTTCCTGCTTCTCTCACTCCCTCCCTGCTCTCCTCCTCCTCCGCCCTGTTTGTCTCGACACGCCGAAAGGTACCAATGGCGTCCCACGGCGGGCCCCCCCCTCGAGCGGCGGCGGCAGCGGCGAGGGGGGGGCCCACGGCGAGGCGCGGCGGAGCGAGGAAAGGAGGAGCCACAGGATTTCATTTGCGTTTGACATCCACGTCCACTGGGCCACCTCGGAGGCGGCCCATGCCGTCCAAGTCGACTGGAACCACCGATATCTAGGGATGGACACCCTTGCTGAGCTTGGACTAAGCCTCCTTGCGCGTCGCACTGCCCTCGAAGCAGTCGGAGGCAGCCTGCGCACCTTGGGGGCTGTGAGGGCAGGGGCCACCCAAGCCTTTTCAGGTGCCCGAAGTGCCAAGCCCAAAAGACTGACAGCAACCCAGTAAACTGAAATCGGTGCAATTTGCCGCAATACACTCATGGCCAAGGTCGCGGAGCGCCTTCGGGTCTACCTGCAGTCTGTTCTCGCTGCGCCCCGGGTGAAGGCACTCAAATGAGCGTTGTGCTCGTCGGACATCCACCGCACCGCAAAAGCTGGCATGCCCAGCTCCACTGGTGAGGAGGCGCCTCGGGTTCTTTGGGAACGGACGGGGGCTGGAACTCGAGCGACCCCCTCCGCGTCCGCACGAGGCCACCTCTCCATCAAGTGAGCCGCGAGCCCGATGGTGGCAGGGGCGGCGACAACCACAAACAAAAACTCAACCTGCGCACGCTCCTCGGAGGAAAGAGGTGGATGCAGCATGGCACCGTGCTTTGCAGTCCTGTCGGCTTCGCAATTCCCCCCAGGCACCAATTCAATCTCCGCCGGGCAGGCCGGGGTCACCTTCTGGGCGCGCTTAGAATTTTGACGCCTGTCCCAAACAGATCCCAGCGAAATGACGCGACTGCACGGCACGGCCTGCACGACATCAATTCGGGCGAGGGCGCTCCAGCTTGGCCTTCGCATGTCCATTAACGACAAGCTGGCAGTCGACCAGCTCGCTCCAATGACCCTCGCAGACTGGTCGACGCCAAAGCCTGTGGACCACCGTCTCCCCGCCCTGTCCGCGCAGCGTGCAAATGTCCTCGGCTTCGCGCCCAGTGCCAGCAATCCTACTCATCGGCCACAAGGCCTGATACGCGACGCCCCCGAGGCCCGCGATGGCTTGTTTTTTTCGAAAGCGGGACTCTGGGAGGGCGAAGCGCAAGCGGGATCCATCGACGTGCTCGACGCCAGCCTGAACTTCGGACTCCTGTAGAATCGAGCCCGCGGAATCAGAACCGTACATTTTGTACGCAAGACGCCTTTTTCACAAGGCAGGGGAGGTACAAGGGAAAGGGCTAGGATTGCCGTTCTCGCCTGCGCAAGCCGACGGATCGCATATTGCCCAGTGGATGCGTGTGAGGGGCATGTATAGAGCTCCCATGAGGCCCTCGACGGACCTCCACGCCTTGGGTGGGGCACACTCTGGTGGCGGCCCAGGAATGGCCGACCCTTGCCTAAGCAGGCACCCGCGAGTACGCGCGCGCCTGCGGCAGCAAGAGCTCCCGAGGACGCGCGCGCCTGCGTCGGCGGCTGGGCAAAGGTTACTGCTCCGGCGATCGGGCATCAGTGGGGCGCGCTGGATGCAAATTGGGCCGCATTGCGCGGGAGGCGAGGAGGAGATCCCGGCGCAACAGGAAGAGAGGAAGCCGGGCCCGCTCAGGCAAGTCCCGGCTGCGGCAGGGGCCCCGGCGGCGGCGGGGCGGGGCTTCATAGTGTAGTCCGAGGACACAGCCACAGGCGCCATGGATCCAGGTCGTGCCGCATCGCTCTCGAGCCCCGTGAGCGCCTCGAATGGACGAGCCCTCCGCGGGAAGGCTCGGGGCGGCCGAGGCCAGAAGCCTGCGCGCAGCCGGCAACCAAGTCTCCGCCCGGCAGACCGCGGATCTCTGGGCCGCTCTGCAGGCCAGCCACAGGCCCAGCAGTGGACACCGCCGCCTGGGGCCACGCCTGCAGAACAGATGCCTCCTCCTCCTCCTCCCCACCTCTCCTCCTCCTCCTCCTCCTCCCTCCTCCTCCTCCTATCCTCCTCCTCCTCCTCCTCCTCCTCCTCCTCCTCCTCCGCCTCCTCCTCCCTCCTCCTCCTCCTCTCCTCCTCCTCCCTCCTCCTCCTCCTCCTCCTCTCCTCCTCCTCCTCCTCCTCCTCCTCCTCCCTCCTCCTCCTCCTCCTCCGTCCTCCGTCCTCCGTCCTCCGTCCTCCGTCCTCCGTCCTCCGTCCTCCGTCCTCCGTCCTCCTCCTCCTCCTCCTCCTCCTCCTCCTCCTCCTTCTCCTTAGCGAACCAGCCTTTTGGTACGCCTGGCGGAAGCAGAGGGGCGCGGCTTCGCCCCCACAGTGCGGCCGTGCACGCGGCGGCAAGCCCAGACATAATGATCGATCACAAGTTTGACAGTGGCCTCCCGATGCGGCCAAACCAGGGCCCCGAACTCATTTACCAAACGAGCAAAGATGCAGTTCGTCGCAGTAACACATGCCCCCCTTTTGTAAAGAACTCTGGGCCCTCATCATCGCCGTGGTAGTGTGGCGAAGAGCCTCCGTAGACTCTCTTGAACCTGGAAAAATCTCGTCGGCCGAGTCGACCGCTTCCAAACCAGAGTCGTCAATGTGAACGTCCAGGATGGTGCTCGGAGCGATCGACACAATATCGGACGCATCGATTCAAGACGCTACGCCCAGTGTCGGCGCCATGGAGCATCCCGCGACCACCCCGCAGGCAGCGAATTGAGCCTCCGCGGTTGCACCGCACCACGCGCCGACACGATCGGTAAGCTTCCGGGCAAACTGAGAGCAGCACTTGATAACAAGTAAGCGAGCGGGATCCTCTCACAGTGCGTGAGCATGTCCCAGAAGAGTGAGCCCGCATGCTGGCCCCAGGAGGCGCTGGTCTCAGCTCGGATGTCTCCAAACCGCGGCGGAGGGCTGGCCTGTGCTTGCCCGCAGCCCAGTAGAGCAGGTCGAACTGAGTTCAAGACAGCCTGAAAGGCAGCCTGGAGCTGACGAGGGAACATTCTACCAAACATCTCCACAGATGCCCAGGGCCTACCTAGCGCGTGTAAGGAGGCGTCCGAGAGAAACTGGACATTGCGCACGTAGGAACCATCTAACCCGACAGCCGACTTCCTGGCAAAAGATCGGGAACTCCCCCTGGATACCTCCGCAGGTGTCTGAAGAAAAGGCTCCTGGTGAACAATCTTGAAAATATGTGGGGTAAGGCTCGCGTCCCACAACTTCCAGAAATTCGATCTCTCCGCGCCAAAGAGGTCAGACGAGTCAGAGACAATGACACCGAATCGACCGGTCGCGTTTGCGGGCTTCCAGGCCCCAGGACCCTCGGCAATTGACAATCCCCTCCTTGCGCCCTGGTTCAGGAAGCCACTTTGAGAGATGAGAACACGATCAGCGCAGCATGTGTCAGAGCCTCCTTGCCCTTTACTAACTAGAAACCACCTGCAACTCGCTGGGACAGACAATGGGGCACGTTGCCCCCAGACAGGCAGCCATTGCACGGTCCGAGACAACAGCAGAAGCCAATGAGGATTCACCTTGGTTGCCCAGCGCAATCAGAGGAGGCGACGCTAAGGCCTGGCACGGGGAGTCGCATCGAAGCGGCGTGCTCCGCGCCCGCACCCGAGTCCAGGAGTTTGCAAACACCGTTGAAATTACGAGCTCGACCACGTGATGTAATGAAGCTTAGGGTGCGCGGCGGCCCCGAAGTCTTGCGCGGGAACGGGCCGCCACAGGAGGGCTGGGGGGGCAGCTCATCGCGCTGATTAGCTCCTCGTCAGATTCACGCGTCCGAGACTTGCAGGCCACGCCCAACAAAGAGTCCAGAAAGGGCACGTCCGCAGAAGCACTGCGTTGGGCCGTGTCCAGGGGGGCCTCGCACGTCCTGAAGGACAGGGGCACGGGCGCGGGACAGAATGGAACGTCGACGGGCAGAGGGGGCTTCCCGCAGGACAAGGCGCGCAAGTTCCACAGTGCAGACACATCCAAGACCACAAAAACGCGGGGCGAGAAACTCGCCGCCGCAATAGTCACCTCAAGTTGAGGGCGAACTGTATCTCGACAATCGAGCCAGGCCTGCTTTGGAAATCCCCGCCAGGCACGGAAGGGGGGCCCGATATAGGGCGACCCCCGCTCTGCAGCGCTAGGAGCCAAGTTCAGGTCATCAGTCCGAGCGGCGTCTGGGAGATGGAGAGAGGAGAAGTGGATGTGCTGGCCGCCGGGAGGACGCGCCAAGATCCATCAAGGCCCTGGCCAGCACGACAACGCCAGGCCGCCCCCTCCCCCCTCTCCAGAGGCCCCAGGAACCACGCATCTCCACCCATCATGGAAGCACGAATGTGATGCTCGGTCGATGGGGTCTCCCGCCTGGACCTTGCGCCCCGGGATCGGCAGAACGCGCGACTTGCACAGCAGCAGCCCCTCCATGATCGAAGCCCAATCGTTACCATTAGCAGCCTCTGCAACCAACGCAACTTCGCTTCTTCGGCGGGGTGGAGGTGGGGGGGGAGCTCGAGACCTCTGGATGTCTCGGAGCGACAGCTCTGAATGATGAAGGCTGCGGTCTAGGCGCTGCTGCTTTCTTCTTGTTGCACCCCGATTCACGTGGACGGGGGGGGACATCCTTTATCGGATGATTGATTGGCGGTCACAGCGTTGGCCTGCCCCCACAGCTTCGCCAACAGAGCCTCTGGGCACTCAGTCGCTGTCGAAGACGTCGCCGCTGCCGACCCCGAGGACGGTGGCGTCGCTGAGCTGGCGCTGTCAGAACCGGCCGAACTGGATGCACCTCCTGCTCTACCCGCGCCCGCAGCTGCACCTGGCAGAGCTCCGTCCGCACCACGACGCTTCTTGGCAGAAAGGCTGGTCTGCTGTTTCTGATGAGCCACCTCCGCTGCCTGCGCGGACTCCATCGTTTTGAGAAGAGCCCCTAAGCCAGCGCGTCGACCCCCGTGGGCAGCTGCTCCTTGCGCTCGTTCCTCTCCGCCACGTCCGGCTCGCCCAGGGACTCGGGCTATGGGCCAAGAGCCAGGAGGTCGCCCATGCCAAGCTCGAAGCAGTCGACCTTGACAAGCAGGAGGTCAGAGAGGGCAGCCGAAGGATTGCTCGCGCCAGTCCGAGCCCTCTTCGGCTGTGACGCCAGCATCTCGGACTGCTCGTCACGCATGCGATCCAAGTCCTCGAGCCCCCGACTCAGCTGGCCGATGGCCTGCTCCTGGGCCGGACATCGCTAGACATCTTCTCAGCCAGCTTGGCCATTGCCATTCGGCAGCGCAAAAGCTGTTCTTCCATTGGTTCGCTCTTCTTGTGAGGAGGCTGCAACGCAACTTAACTGACTTGAAGGCGGTGCACGTCCCGTGCGTTCCCCGCCTTCTGGTGAAGCTGGCTGAAGGCTTAAGGCTCCTCCACTGACAAAGAGGTCGTACCGGCTTGGCGTGATGGAGCTGCGCCGCCTTGGGGTGCAGGTGACACGACAGGACTGTTGAAGCTCCGCCAAGGCCCCCACATCCCTTCCCTTTACCTTTGAAGCTCATGCTGTTACCCTTGGTGCCGCGTCCCGTGCCACCGCCCTTTAAGCCGAGATGTCCTGGCTGGAGATCTGGAGTGAGGGCTGCAGCAGAACCGTCGGTGAGGGCGAGAGGCTTGGACGAAGCACCGCCAGGAGGAGGATGAACCACCCAAGGGGCGACCAACATCTTCCCCGCAATGCTTGACCAAGGGGCGATCCTCGACATCTCCTGCGGGCGCGGGAAACATCCACGGACTGACAAGTGGAAGGGATGAGTTCCCTCGACCTGAAACGAAAGGATGTAAGTGGTATCACAGGGCCAAAAAGGCCTTCTGAAGATCGTTGTTGCCAGCCCTTCTGAAGATCGTTGTTGCCAGCCCACCGTGGGCCAGAATGGCAGGAGAAGGAAGAGGAACGGGAGGAAGAAGGACGATGAACAAGAAGAGGCGGGGAGAAGGACACATATACGATGATTATGCGGTGGTGGCGACGCTAGTGGTGATGACGACGATGATGACGATGCGATGTCGATGGCGGGGACGAGAAGAACGAGGAGAAGGCAAAAGACCAGAAAAGGATCAGTACGTGTTGGAAGGTTCTGGCGGGGCCAGGGCGCTCGAAGGGCTGTAAGGAGGGGGGCAAGCGGCGGGGAAGAAAAGAACGCTGCAAGCCCCGCAGATAGTTTGGCCAACTTAAGAAACGGGATTGGAAGATTAGCCAGCAGAGCAGGGGGGAGAAGGAGAAGGAGGATGAACCGGCGGAAGAGGATGAGCACAGGGGAATTGGTGAAGAGGAACAAAAGGGACTAGGAGGAGCTAGGCGAGGACGACGAGTGGGAGAGAGAGAGAGAGGAGACAAAGAAACAGCAGAAAAAACAACAACACGAAACAACACACAACAAGAGAAAGAGAGAGGAGGTCCAGAGCAAGAGTCAGGCGGATTGGGTGGGGACATACTCCGTCCCTCCCCTCTCCATTCCCGAGGGTCCACTTGAGCCACCCATTCACCCCCCAAAACAATCTCGAAATCCATAGAACCATCCTGAGCACCCCAAAGTCTTACCTCCTCACTCCTGACTCGTCCCTCCCTCCTTCCTCCTCCTTGGTCCCTTTTCATTTCCGGATTCCTCCTCCTCCCTCCTTCCCCTCCGCATTTCGTTGCTCCTCCTTTTCCGTCTTCCAGTCTTCCTCCTCCAACCTCTTGCCCCCTCGTCTTCCGCATCCGTCTCCATCCCTTCTCGTGCTGCTCCTCCTCCTTCTCCTCTTCCTCCTCCTCCTCCTTCTCCTTTTCCTCCCTCCTCCTCTGTGTCCTCCTCTTTCTCCTCCCTCTTCCTCTTCTTGCCCAACGGGGCTGCCTGCTCGAGGCGAAGCGGGCTGTCATCTCCGTCTCCGTCACGCCCCTCAGCTTGTCCACCGATCTCGCGCCGGGGACCAGCACCTGCGAGGGAGGAGGACGGGGAGAAATTGGGGGAGGAGGAGGAGGAGGAGGAGGAGGAGGAGGAGGAGGAGGAGGAGGAGGGGTGACCTGTTCGAATCTCGAACTGTTTTATTTGTTTGTTTTCTCTCTCTCTCTCTGTCACTCTCTCTCTCACTCTCTCTCTCTGTCTCTCTCCCTCTCTCGATCACGATCTGCTCAATCTCGCTCGATCTCTCGAATATCTTTCCCTACCTTGTCCTGTCTCAGATTCAACCTGCCCACATGATCCAGTGTTGCACAGGCATCGCCACTCTGCCTGGAACTTTAGAATAACAGGTACAGGGAGAGGAGGACGAGGAGGCGGAGGACAGCAACAGCAGCAACAAAGGAACCGATGGCACACTGCGGCGATCCGCGCCCCCCATATCAGCCTCCGAGGAGGGAGCGGGGATGAGGTGCTAGGGGATGACGAGGAGAGAAGAAAGAATGGAGGAAGGAGGCGGAGAAAGAGGAGGCAAGTAGGGGGAGGAGGAGGAGCAGGAGGGAGAGGAGAAGGAGGTCGAGCGTGCCCAAAGGAGGAGGAGGAGGAGGAGGAAGAGGAGCGCGTCCTGCCCCGTCCTGCCCCAGCCTCCTGAGCCGCGTCCTCCCGTGGCGACAAGGAGGCCCCTTCCTCCCCCCTTGCGGCTGGCTGGAGGCAGGTCTGGGCCAAGCCAGCCCCCACTCCCGCGAAAAAAAACCCAACCCTCCGCCGCCCTGCGTTTCGACGTCCTCCCCACCCCGTCCTTCTCCTCCACCTCCACCTCCTTCTCCTCCTCCTCCTCCTCCTCCTCCTCCAACTCCTTGTCACTCTTGACGAACGAAGTGCGCACACCCATACCGACAGTGGGTTCGGGGGGAAGAGGACAGGCTACGTGTATGGGTGTGGGTTGTCGGACCCCGGGGGAGGCTCCCATTCGAGCGGGGACCCCCACGCACAAATAGCCCCCTCAGTCCCTCCTATTGGTATGGGTGTGCGTTGCTCGTTCGTCAATTTTCACAATAAACCGACATTGGCTGGATGGCCGGTGCGACAGGAAGCGAGTAAAACAATAAACAACTAACCCCCTGTCGGGTCACCTTGTCAGGCTAAGCGGAGAAGAGGCGGTGCGAAGAGACTGCGGGACAGCGTGGAAGCCCTCGCGGGCATGGAGCATTGGACCTGCGGGCGATTTCCCTGCTGCCCCTCCTCCTCCTTCTCCCCCTCCCCTCCACCGCTCCACGCTTCGACGCGCTATCCTGTGCCCAGAGTGCTTCGTCGCAAGTCGGGCCCACCTCGGGCAGGCTCTCCGGGAGGCGGAACGCCTCCTCGCCGAGGCGGTCCAGGCTCGAGCTGGCGAGGGCTGCCGCAGGAAGCCACAGAGTCGCTCCCTGTGAGTGTCGCGCCTCGCATGGCGCGGCTGTATACACATCAATGGGATGCCAGTGTGTATATCACTCGTACCTTGGACATCGCGGTCAGAGCGTCCGACTAAGACTAGAAGGGCGCTCGAGAGTGGTCAACAAGGGCCTGTGTCGCCCTGCGGATGGCGTAGAAATGCCGGCCCTGTCCTCCTCTGAGTCGAGGGGGCCAGGATCAGGGGCTGTGCGCACAATATTGTACATGTGATCAGCACGCACGATCCGCTCCAACTCTTCTGGGGTCGGTGCCCCAGCAAGGCCGAGACGAGTGGCGATGCACACAGGGGGCTCGGCGGGGTGGTATACAAGGTCCCACAAAACTGGACAACAGTGTGTACATATATATATATATATATATATATGGAAATAGTACACATGTGTATGAATACACTGGTATTCAACTGTGTGTAACAGATCGGTACGCACATGCGCACAGGTGCACAATGCCAGCACGCTCGCACACAACGTTTGCAAGGAGGCACTGTGGCAATCGCGTGAGATCCGCGGACGCCTGAAGCATGCTGATATGGGGGCCAACGTCTGAATTTGTGCCTGAAGACACCCCCCAAGACACCTCGCGGTAATCCGCCGATCCAGCGTGTGAGTTTCAAAAAGCCTGAGCTACAGCCTACAGCCTGAGCTTCAGCTCTGCTGGGGGGGGGTGCGGGGGAAGGGGGGGGGGGCGGGGCTGGGACACGCAAACTCGCGAAATTCCCACCGCGGGGGCCCAGAGAGCCCAAGATGGCCGCCAGATATTTCCCAGACGGCTCAAGATGCACCCAAGATGGCCCAGGATGCCATCCAAAAGAGGCCCGAAGAGGCCCAAGTCAGTGATTTCCCGAGTGCTTTTGAAGGATTTGGGCCAGAGGCCCCCAAGATCGCCCCAGAGGCCTCCAAGATGGCCCTATGACGGCCCCAGGGGCTCCTGAGACGGCCCACAGAGGGTCCCAAGACGGCCCCATAGACCCCCAAGACGGCCAAGATGGCCTCGAAGACGCCCCTGAAGCGCCCCCAGAATGCCCCCAGACTGCTCCCAGACGGCACAGCGAGGCGCCCAAGACGACTTCCGACGGCGTCGGCCGGGCCAGGAAGGCCCTAAGACAGCTCAAAAGGCTTCCAAGAAGCCCCCCAAAGGCTCAAAGACCCCTCAAGAGCTCAAGAGGCCTCCTCCTACGACGTCCCAAAGAGGGCCCCAAGACGGCCCCTATCGGCCTCCAAGCGAACCCGAGCACGATCGGAAGCGCCCTAGATCGGCGGCACTGGCCGGAGGCCACTACAATATGTGCTGCGACATGGAAGGCTGACCTCCGTACTATCCCCTTGACGCCCTTCCTCAACTTCCTCCCGTTCCGTGCATCCAACACTCTCCCCTTCCACCTCCTTGCCCCAACCATGCAATGCTGCATCGTGGACACGATGGTCGTCGGTGCTCGGAGGGGGGAAGTGAAAAAAACCGGGGTTTCTCAGACGGCGGCGAGGCTTCTCAGAAGCCTTCCGGCCTTCTGAAAAGCTCCCTCTTTCATGTCGGAGAAAGTTTGGGAAGCTCCTCAGAAGAACGGGGGCCTTGTGAGCCTTCTGACACGGCCCGCCCCCTGTGACTTCCACTCGTGGGCGAACGGCCGAGATGGAGAGGCGCAGCGCTGCTTCTCGACCATGTCAACGGACCCCAAGCAACACGAAAACAAATCTACACACATTCCCGGATTCCCGTCCATTTCCCGTCCATTTCGGGATTCCCGTCCATATTTTCTTATACTCGCGGGTACTGAACGGAGCGGTCGGTGTTGCAACGCCAGCGTCGTCCGTTTGCGAAGCGATTTGTTCTGAGTCGTTGGCTAGAACATGGCCAGATATTGTCGTCGTGATCGTCGTAGCCTCCTTCTCCGTCTTCCCGCCAGGGGCGGGGGCGCCGAGCACACGCCTCACTGAACATGCTTTTGGCCTGCGGCGAGTTGGGTCCAACAAGCGGTCGAGCAAACGGCGGGACGCATCCGTCGCGAACTGTGGTGCAGGGGCGCAGGCGGCAGTTGCACAGAACACGCGCTGTTTCCTCGAAACAAAATATCAGCGCCCAGGTGGGCTCTAGCGCTGGAGTCCAGAGGGGGCCGTGACACCTGTCCGAATCTGCTGGCCTGATGGTTGTGGGTAAGCGTATACCCTAGACTTAGATCCCACCAGCCTTTTAGGGCGTGAGTTGTTAAGGGAGTTTCTTCTTCAAAGCCCACTTCTTCCCCGTGGGGGAGGGGCTTACCATTGTTTGTTATAAGTAAACACCCCTCCCCCACGCGACCAGCAGCCAACCAGGACCAATGCCCACCCCCCCTTCCCTGCAAAAAACGATACGAAGAAAACGTTTGAGCAAATCTTGGGTCATGCTGGTGGGCCCCACGACCACGTCTTACTGTTCTTAGACCAGGGCGGCGGAGGGGCCCTCAGGTTGCCTGCTTTGCGCAAGACAACATGCACTTCGCGGCTACATCTGGATCATTCGCGGCCACCCCGCGATCGCTGTCCGTTGGTGTTTGGCAAGGACCGTGGGGGTGCTTGAGTATCGCCTGCTGTGTGCAGGCCCACCAGACACCATGATTGCTTCCCCGCCGCGCGCGTGCACTACAAGTTTTCGACAAGGATGGTGGGGGGCGACATGTTTCCCGACGTGTGCTGTCACGAGCACGGGCACACCTGGCACACTCTGCGCGTGCTCCGGACGTGGCGCACCTGGCGCGGCTGGACCATGCGGCGCACATGGCGCACGTGGAGCACGTGGCGCATCGGGGGCGCGAGGCGTGCCTGGCACGCTTGGGCCCCAGAGGTGCCTCGCGCACCTGGAGCGCCTGGCACGCGTGGCGCACCTCGCCCCATCGCGCACATGGGGTCTGTATTGGTTCCCAGTAGCCGCCAATCCAGAGAAGACCGCTGAACATGCTGAGGCCCGCGTGCGACTTCTGTGTAGGGAGGGCGGGCGGGAGTAAGCGAGACAGCTTGCGGGCGGGGAGGGTGTCTTGACCGACCCCTACCCCTATCCCCTGCCTCTGGACTTGGCCGGGGGTTCCGCGAGACGTTGGCGCATCCAAGCTGGCCTCGGTGAGAAGGCCAAAATCATTTATCTGAAGAGGTTTCGGCCACATTTTAGCCTCCTGGGGGGGGGGGGGGGGGGGCTCATTGCGGAGCTTCCCGCCTTCGATCGATCTCCTACAAGATGGCCCAAGGATGTCCTCCGAGGCTCCCAATGGTGCCTCAAGAGGGCTCCACGAGGTGCCTCATAGGCCCCGCCCAAGAGGCCCCCCAAAGGCACCCAAGACGCCTGAAGAGGCCTTGGCGAGAATGTCCAAATCATTGATTTGTGTTCCCCAAGAAGTAGCAAGGAGGCCCTAACAGGCACCCACATTGCCCCCAAGATGCCCCCAAGAGGCTCCCCAGAGAACCCCGAGGAGGCACCCAGGACGCCCCAAGAGGCCCCCGGGACTGCCAAGAGACCCACAAGACGCCTCAACAGGACTTTAAGAAACTCTCGAAACAAAATCCAAAGAGACTCCGATAGGCATCCAAGAGGCCTCTAGCCTTCCTGCTCGCCCTCCTCCTCCTCCTCCTCCTCCTCTGCTTCCTCATCAGCCTGTTACTACTCCTTCATCGTCCCTCCTCTCCATGACCCTCTCCCTACTCCTCCTCCTTCTCCTCGTGTCCCTCCTCCGAATCCTCCTCCATCCTCCCCGTCTTGGGGCGCGACGTCTTACCCAACTCTTGAGTTCACTGCCTGTTTCTCCGCATCCCTGCTCAGGGCAGCTCGTCTGGGCATCGATTATGTATTGGCTGGTGAAATTACGCGATGCATCTAGAGTGTAGAAGAGAGAGAGAGAGAGAGAGAGAGATAGGGAGAAAGACAAATAACTAGAGAGAGAGAGAGAGAGAGAACAACAAAAAACACACAGAGACAGAGAGATAGAGGGCGTAAGACTATGCTGGCAAGCTGGCCCGAATGCGGCTGTCACAAGAAACCACGTAGGAACTTTTGCGGTGCGTGTCGCTGCGGCGGCCCCGGCGGCAATGTATGCCTTGCAGGCGGATGGCGTGTCGCTCCGCCCCGCGGGGCGGGAAGCTGGGAAGCGGGAAGCTGGGGCCGAGAAGTGGATAGCGTGTTGCGCCAAAGCGCGGTGGGCTGTATCAGGGTGGTGTCACCCCAGAGTCTTCAAGCACTCGCCAAAAAGAGGTAGCACTGACAAACATCGGCAAGTTGCTGCGTGAGATGATGCAGAGCGAAATCCAGAGCGAAATCCAACATACGGCACATTCACCTTACACATAATATCACTCATGTAACTTCAACCTGCCGCACCTGGACTCCAGACTACTTCATGAAGCTGTTGAGAGGGATCCACAGTCATATCGCGAAGAGGAGGGCCAACCTAATTTGACCAGATAGTAGACCACATGATACACGTGGCGGATTCCGTAAACCTTGTACCCAATCATGTTGTCATCTCTTGGAAGCGAACTTTTTACTTCCGTCAATTTCCGCCGCCTTTCCGCCGCCTTCCGCCGGCGGAGGCGGCCTCGCTTTACCTCCGCCGCCTTCCGCCGAGGAAGAGATGACAACTGGCAACTCCTTCCACCCTCCAGGGCGAGGCCCTTCTCGGAACGCTTCACGTGTCAGGCCCGACGCTCCCGCAAGCGAGCGAGACGGCATCTGCCCTCCTGGCCCTGCGGGCAGAAAGCAGTGTGACCTCCGCCTCCTTCCCCCCCCCCTGGCGAAGAGGAGCCAACAACTGGCCGCGCGCGGGGCCTCGGCGCAGAGCCGGCCCGGAGGCTGGGCGCGCAGGTAGGCGGTGCCGCGGAAGACCACGAAGCCGCCGCACCCCCGCCTGCAGCACTCTGCCTGGGCGCTGCGTCGTGACGAGCGGGGCTGGCCTCCCAGCTCTGCGTGCTGCCGTCGCCAGTTGCTGCTGCCCGTCTCCTCCCTCTCCCGCTCCACCTCATCCCTTCCGCCTCCGCCCTCTTATCCGCCTCCTCCTCCTCCTCCTGCTCCTCCTCCTATCCTCCTCATCATCCTCCTCCTCCGCCTCCTCCCCCTCCTCCTTCCTTTCATCTCTCTTCCTCCGTGCCGCCCTCCTCGCGCCCGCTTCTCCCGCTGCCTCGACTAGCCCCCTCCTCCCGCACCCGCCCACCCCTTGCAACGGGGCGGTGCCAGGGAGCGCCCGGTGGCAATGGGGGCCTCGGGGCCGCCGCCCAGTGGAGGGCGCCTGCGCCTGCGGCTCCCAGGTCAAACAAACAAAGCAGGCACGGGCCTGGACCAGCGCGAGGTCAGCGGCGGGCATGGTCGCCGCGTCCATTCCCGGGAAGGAGTCCGTGTGCATGAGCCTCACCTGGCAGGCAAGCTGGATGGGCCGCTCCCTCCTGCCGCCGGCTCCCACTCCCTCCTCCTCCTCCTCCTCCTCCACCTCCTCGTGCCTCGTTCCTCGTTCCGCGTTCCCCGTCCTCCTGCTGCTCGCTCACTCTCCTTCCCCTGCGCAGCCGCAGCACGGCCGCAAGAACGTAGGTCAAAAACGTGAGCTCCGTCGCAGAAGGCCCAAGGCCTCACGGAGCTACCCAACGCGCAGAGCGCTGCAGTGTGGAGAGCCACCGCACCAAGAACATCAGGGCAGCCCTCCACCGCCAGGGTTTTTCTGGATAGTCGTGCCAACTGTGACTCTCTATCCCTCCCTCCCTCACCAATTTCTCCTCCTCCTCCTCCTCCTCCTCCTCCGCCTCCATCTGCTCGTCCTCGACGTCGCCCTCCTCCCTCCTCTCCCATTCCTTCCAGGACGTGGGCAAACTGCGCTGTATTCCATAACCTCCCAGCCGCGCCGCGACCCGGCCCAAAGAACTGCGATCCGCTTCCACCTCGAAACTCTCACTCGTCACTGGCCGCTGGCATGGGCATGCTGCTGTCCAAGGGCGCCGAAAACGCCAGCCTGTTGAGCCAAACCCGCGCGCTCCCTTCCTGTGCACTTCCAGGGCGGCATCTGCATGTGCTCGTGCCAGGCTCAGAGTGGTCCAAGGCCCCAGACACGCACCAGACTTGCAAGCCTGCCGTGTGTCTCCGCGGCTGCCACACGAGATCTCGGAGGGTCGGCCTGCATGACTTCCTCTCCTCGCCTCCCCGTTCTCACGCTCAACACCCACGTCGTCCTCGTGACCTGGTCCACGACGTTCTCTCGTCATCGTCATCGTCCTCTCCCCCCCATCCACTTCTTGGCCTCGCCCCTCGACGACGGCGGCGACGGCGACGGCGACGACGAGGACGACGACAACAACAACGGCGGCGGCGTTGTCGTCGGCAGCGACCCCCTGAGGGCAGGCATGGTTTCAGGATGCGACTGACTCAAAACACGTCTAACAAAGATGCAACACATCTCACCATCTCTCGCTTCTGTAACCCGTGCGGGGCAAAACTAAATCTTCCGTGCAAGTACGGAACCAAAACGAGGTAATCGAACCGTATCTGATGCGATACGAGCCAGACGAACCGACAACAACATCGAACCGAATGGAACCCTTCGGAACCGAACCGCCTCGAACCAGAATGCATATATGCTTAACCTTGGAACTAAGAACCATACATATAATATCAGACCGCATAAGCTCCCCACTGCGATTCAACATACCAAAAAACCTAATCTATTTTTATGGACGTTCAGCAAAACAAAAAAATCCAAGTCGAAATTGAGCTAACAATGAATTATGTTAACCCGGTCTTCGCGCGTCGAGAGCTAGACCAACATAGTGCAAAACCTTTGTACTGAACAAGAACCCGACTCACTGTTGAACGTATTTCAACCGAAGCCAGGTGAAACTCACAAACTAATTATCTGATATTTGTGAGCCCAGGAAATGGGACGTCTATTCTTGCCTTACAACTCTCTGAATGGAGTTCTGGATCAGACTAAACATGTCAATATTCAGATATCTGTATTGGGATAGTATTCACATGCTTCTTTAGCTATCGATGGGAGTATGTTTTTTATACACGTATTCAAAAATCATTTCGAAACGTTCTCCCTTGAAACATCACCGTACCGAAACGCCCAACCTTTCGAAACACCTCCTTTAGACAGCCCCGGGCCAGAGCAGCAGGCAAGGAACCTTGAAATACACTTCCTTGAAAGAGCCCCGCACCGAGACAACGCCGAAGACAACTCGAGCCACGCTTCTTGGAGAGAGCTCCGCGCCGAGACAATATCCAAGGGACCTATAAACCCACTCACGTGAGAGAGCCCGGGAATGCCGACCTACATTTGTCTGAATGACTTGTCTCGTAAAGCGAATAAGACAGAACAGAACTCTGAAATACACAAAAGCATTTAATTCATTCTACACAGACACACGAAGCCGTACCGGCGCAATCTGTCCACGCACACAAAAATAACAAACGAGCAAACACAACATTTTATCAAACATTCTGCTTCCGTGCCAGTGACAAGCCTTACGCAAGGAAATCAAAAGCGCAAGCCCGACACATTGAAAATGAAGCTTCGAGCCGCGCGGATCCAAGCGTCCCCGCCCCACACGGGGAGAGGAAAGGCAAACTCAAACAATTTGATTAAACATTCCATTCGTGTATTACATAGAAGATAACACGACACAGTTGGAGAAAACAACTGAAACAAATTATCGAGAAATCAATCCAGCAGATAACAGACAAAACAATTGAAAGAA